GACCTTTATAACCGCTAGAGGTCAATCAGTCATCGACATCACACTCGCTTCGATGGGTATCTCGTCTTCGATCCACAATTGGACGGTTTCCGACAATGTTTCAATGTCCGACCATAGATGGATCACTTTCGATCTTGGTACCATAAAGATTGGAAAGAACCTAAAGCGTAACCCCAGAAGGACGGATGTGGGCGTGTTCAGATCCTTGCTTACTGGGTGTTTGAGCGACATTGAGTTGCGTAAGCCAACCGGAAGCTTTGAAGTTGAGGAGTACCTAAATATTATCAGTGACTCCTTAATTAAAGCTTACAAAAAGGCTTGTCCCCTCCGATCAGAGGCCGTCTCTGGGCGTGCTACCATTTGGTGGTGCCCTGAGCTCGGCAAACTCAAAACGGAGGCAAGGACAGCCTTTAATAGAGCTAAAAACTCAAATTAGACTCCGACTGGAAACTTTATAAAGGAAAATTAGCGGAGTTCAAAAAAAGCGTTCGTCACAGAAAACGAGAAACGTGGAGGAAATTTTGTGAGGAAGTTTCCTCCTGCAGCGAAGTTTCTCGGTTAAATCGGGTTCTGGCTTCAGACCCTGAACGACGAATTGGCTTACTAAAAAAGGCTGACGGTTCTTATACCGACAACCTTTTGGAGAGTCTTCATCTATTAATGGAGGTGCATTTTTCAGGTTCCGGAAGTTCCGTACAAATACAACAGGACACCAACCATGAACCTACTGCAGATGATTGGATTTCAGCCGAAGAGATCTGCAGGGAGGATAAAATACGGTGGGCCATCAACAGTTTCTCGCCGTTCAAGACACCAGGACCAGATGGTATTATACCAGCCCTTTTACAATGGGGTCTGGAGGATTTAGTACCTCACCTGGTGGAAATCTTCCAAGCATGCCTGGCGCTGCGCTATATACCCAGTCGATGGCGTGAGGTCACAGTGAACTTCATACCAAAACCGGGTAAGCTTGATTATTTCACACCGAAATCGTTTAGACCAATCAGTCTCTCCTCCTTTCTTTTGAAAACTCTGGAGAGACTGTGTGATCGCTATATTAGAGATTTCTGTCTTCCAACTAAACCAGTAAATCCTAATCAACACGCTTACACTCAGGGCAAGTCCACACTAACGGCTCTTCACTCAGTGACCAGCTTTGTTGGTGGGGCGCTGGACCTAAAGGAGTCCGCCCTGGGGGTTTTCGTAGATATAGAGGGAGCTTTTGATAAAACAACTTTCTCTGGTATTAACGATGCCTTGTTAGAGCATAATGTTCCACCGACTCTTTGTGGTTGGATTGAGAACACTCTTAAACATAGGATAGTTAAGCTTAGGGCTGGCGATGTCAGTCTTCAAGGAGGAGTTACTCGAGGCTGTCCACAAGGGGGTGTACTATCCCCACTTTTGTGGAACCTCACCCTGGATAGCCTCTTGAACCGCCTCGCCGAAGCCAACTTTATCACAGTTGGTTACGCAGATGATTTAACCATTCTCGTCAAAGGCAAGTATATAAACGTGCTGTTTGACAGGATGCAAGTAGCNTTTCAACTTCTGCGATGTCGTGTATTCTCCCTTTATTACAGCGCTTACAGCTCAAAGAATACAACGAGTGCAAAATTCTTGTTTGAGGCTGATTTTTGGTGTTCGGCGTCGCCAACATATAAGTCATAAGTTGCGGGAGGTAAATTGGTTAAATATGACGCAGCGACGAGCTCTGCATTCGGCGTGTTTATATTTTACAATACTAAAAACTGAAAAGCCACCGTATCTATATAGAAAAATAGTATTTCGATCAGACGTACACACAATAAATGTCCGTTTTAAAGGTACACTAACTCCTCCTCTACACTCGCTTGAATTTTTTAAAAGTTCGTTTACGTATCAGATTACAACAGTTATTAACAGTCTCCCGATAGATATCAGAAGTTGTAATACAATAAGGTCATTCAAAAATAAATTATTTGTTCATTTATTTAGTACATAATTTGATTTACGATAATATAGCAGCCGTCGCCGTGACATCGCTGAGTTTAAACATTAGAGGGTGTGCAAGGTTCTCACTACAGATGGCAGTATTATTTGCTGTTTCTTTTTCTTTTGAATTATTGTTTTATATTATTATGTTTTGGTTGTATTATTATTATTTTTTGGTATTATTTTCGTTATTATATTACGTATCTGTTTTTTTTTCTCGCTCTCTTAAGGTTAAGTTGAAAATCAGTATTATACTGAACTTCGCCTTTTCGTTCATCTTTTTATATGCATAAAATATAATTTGTATAATGTATATAGGTGTAAGTGAAGGAATAAAGTCATTTATTATTATTATATTATTATTATTATTATTAATGAAAACCAATTTTACACTAAAGAAACTAAATTTTTCCTTTACGAATTTCAAAGTCAACATTATGAAAACGAATTTTACATTTGTGAGAATGAATTTTATGTTTATGAAGATCAATTTCGAAAGAATTTTACTAGGCTGTAAATAAAGACCTATATAAACATGTTTGTTCAATGGAATTTTAATAACGAGTATTTAAATAATTACAACAATATAATTAAATTAAACAATTAAATGATAACTATATATAAATTACATCTTAAAACTCGTTTAAATCTTGCCCCCTTAGCACAGCAGCATAATAACGCTCCACATGATTTGTATACCCCAAAAGATGTTGCTGGGGAGTACCCCTAATTGCTTCATCTGCGATTTCTCCTAAAATCCGCATTCTACGTTCGGCAATAGTGAGTCCTTGATTATTATTTAAACGCACATAGTTCAGTACGTTGGGCATTCTAACTTGTATCTGTCTCTTCACTTTAGATTTAAAGGAGCTCCATAGGAGTTCAATAGGGTTTAATAAATATGAATACGGTGCTAAACGTATTATTTGAACATCCTCTTGGGGTTGCAAAACACTTTCCAAGTTTGAGTGCACAGGTGCGTTGTCGATAATAAAACTCAGGTGCAAAAATCCTAAATTTCTACATGTTGCAATTAAACCTCTAAACCAGACTTTGCATTTTGCACCTTTATACGAACCTCTTTTATGCTCAAAAGATACAATTTGTGTGGAACACATCGCGCCAATGCAATGCAAAGTATTTCCTTTACTTGCCGGAACAACCACATGAGCTCTATGGCCAATTTTTGATGAAAGTTGCACTCATCAATCCAAATGAGGTCTCTACCGTTACCCCGGCTTTCTAAAAGTTTTTCAACATACTCCCTTCGTTTGACTTTATTTTCGTACGTATTGATGTTTGCAACATGTGGTCGAATTTTTTTAAGCGAAAATAATTTACCGTCCAGCCAGTTCTTTATCGTATTAATTGAAACACGAAGTTCAAATTCATTATGCACGCGATTAGNAGGGTTAAGGGCTGCCATCTGTCTAAGGAAGTATTACATTATCCTTCAGAAGAGGCAGCCTTGTCTTTCGTAAGGCTTGGCAGAAACGCTCTACGAACTGTAACGGGACTCGTCACGGGTCACTGTAAGGTAAACAAACATCTTTATAACCTTAAGCTTGCTGTTAGTCCTCTCTGTCGCCTCTGTAAAGAGAGCGAGGAGACGGTACGACACATCTTGTGTGAATGAGAGACCTCAGAATGAGAGACTTCGGAGAGGAATGGCTGACCACAGAAGGCATCAGGAACACACCTCTGAGCTGTATCCTAGCCTTCGGAAATTCCTTACGCTAGTTGATGTAGCTGGAGAGAGTGTAGGAGGACGTACAAGGGGCCCGTTGGGGCCTAGGTGCTGTATGCTGAAGCATACCCTCCGCTTTCCTACATACAAGGTACTATATGGAGACAACAAAGTTTTACCATCTCAGGACTAATTTTATCAGTTCCTGTTGAAGCAGATTTCATCGATTTAATAACATTAAGTACCACGAGACTCAACGACACTAAACTTAAACCTAGAGTTATTATCGGGGGTAAATACACAAGAGCTTGACTTTTAATCGGATAATTTTATTTTTACACGAAAGTTTTGTTACCATGGAAATAACTCGAAATCAAAAGCATGATAAAATCGCGACAGCTTTAGCTGGAGCGATTTTATCTTCTGATTTTGATTGAGAGTTATTTCCAAAGGGTAACAAAACTTGAGTGAATTAAAAATAAAATTATCCTGATTTAAAATCAAGCTCGAGCGTATTTTAGGGAGATTAATACACGACAATTGCACGATTTATCAACAATTTTTAATTATTTATTAACTATTTTTGACTTAATTATAGTTGTCAAAAATGTGACGCAAACAAAAGTATATATATGGTAGTCGCGTTTTAATCAGTTATAAAATATCACGTGTGATTTATTCAGTTGAAAAACCTAGGTAACTTTTATCCACTTAGAAATTCACGTTATTGGTCGAAATTTTAAACGATCGTTACTCTGATTGGTTGTATATTATTGGAGTGCATTAATCACTGATATTCATGTCATATAATATATCAAGAGCAGCGTCACTAGAAGGGGGGAAATCATCCACAATTTCTGATATACTGTCAATAAAGTAATTATTAATGTCCTCAACATTTTTCAATCCTGTACTCTAAAGGCAAAGCATATTATACAGAAATTGTGGCAATTGAAAGACTCGTGGGACGATTCAGCTCCTGAACTTATTCGTCAAATTTGGACAATGTTTGCCAAAGTAACAAACATGGGTGCTAGATAAAGCAGAAGCTAGACAAGATACCAGAAGTGCAAAATACTCGATGAAGTATCTAAGGAGGGTTGGAGGAGCAAGAATATGGTATGGGGGTTTAATCTATATTGGAATTTATCAAGAAAAATCTTCTACAAAGAATGAATGAACCAGAGTGCAGATCGCAACAAACATGGGACGAAGTAATGAAAGAGGCAGTAAAGTGAAGAATAAATTGGTGGGACTCTAGAATATTGGGGACAGGAAAAAAAATGGCAGAAATCTACGAGATATAAATTATGTAATATAAACAATAACACCTCAAAAAAAATTGTTGAAGAATTTTTTTTATTTTAAAATATCAAACGCAATCTCATACGTTTTCATAAAATCAATCGAATCATAGATAAAAACGACTTAAGTAAATACTGTTAAAAATAAAGGCAAACAAATTCAATGCATCATCTTCGCCATCATCATTACGACCGAAAATAATTAATATGTTTTTAATTCCACATAATTGAGTAAAAGTAATTAATATGTAATCAATAAAATTATTAAACGAATAGATTTTTTTATTCTTATTTTCTTGACGAAATGTTCCCCATTTAGAAAGTAAGACCGGCTTCATTATAAGTGGTAAAGATCTTCTCGATCGAATTTACATAAGCGGCCGTTCTCAAATCCAATCCCAAATTGAATTTCATCGCCGTCTTCATGATGGCTTTCGCCGATCTCTCCATCGTGTAATCCAAACCAGAATGGACAATGTCTTTTTCGGAGGCACCGTGAATCCTCTTTTGGAAAGACTCGGATGGAGTTACCGGAATGCGACCGCCGACACGACCAAATCTACGTTCTAAAGATTCTTGAACAGACTCTGAAAAACAAATTATCAAAAAATAATAATATAAAACTAGTTTAAATAAATTTAATTTACCTAATAAATGGAAATTGGAATCTCTTTCATATTTGAATGTTAATCTTCCATAAGAGACATGATTCAAATTCTTCAGCCATTCGAAGAAGGACACAGTGACACCCCCAGCGTTGATGTACAAATCGGGAATGACCAAGATGTTCTTTTCGATTAAGATTTGATCGGCGGCGGGCGTTGTTGGACCATTAGCAGCTTCCGCTATGATTTTAGCACGGATTTTATGCGCGTTATCTTTATGAATAACCTTTTCAATCGCAGCTGGAACCAAGATATCACACTCCTCATAAAGAAGACCCTCTCCTTCGTAAGCTTTAGCACCGGGGTAACCAACAATCGTTCCATTTGCTACTTTGTAATCTTCTAAATCCTATTTATTTTTTGATTTATTAATTTTTTTCTTATAATTTAATTTTTGGGGGATTCCTAGGATATTAAGGATTTCAGAAAGGATTATTAGGATTATTAAAAAGGATTTTTTAATTTAAAAAATAATTACCTTTGGATCGATTCCTTCAGCATTAAAAATGGATCCATCATGTTCGATGATCCCCACACAAGTAGCTCCAGCCCTGTGAAGATATCTCATGGTGTGCAGACCGACGTTACCAAAACCTTGAATAATAACGGTTTTGCCACCCCATCCGGGTGTTGTTCCGATCATGCTCATGTAATTAGCTTCATTAATGAAGTTTTCTAATCCGTGGAAAACTCCTCGTCCAGTAGCTGATACGCGGCCGTGGATGCCACCTTGGTTAATTGGTTTTCCGGTGACGCAGGCATGTCCATTGATGTCGTTGTAGCCTATCGTTTTAGCGTAAGTGTCGGCGATCCAAGACATTTCACGTTCGCCGGTTCCCATATCGGGAGCTGGGACATCAATACCAGGTCCTAAAATAGAAAGAAAATTGTAAATATATTGTTTATGAGTCATTTTACATATTTATATGCCTTTCAATACGAAATCAATAATAATTGAGACATAATTATTAAGAATTAATAATCTCCATTGGTGGGATTAGTGTGCCAAAATGTACCCAACTGTTTCTAAGTGTGTCTAAATGTCACCAAATGATTCAAAGTGTGTCTAAATATGTGCTTAAACGTCTCAAAATGATTTCAAGTGTGTCCGAATGTGTTCAACTGATTCCAAGTATGTCTAAATATCCCCAACTACTTCTAGCTGGACTAAGTGGCACTAAATGTGCTCCATTAATTCAAAGTATGCCTAAACATGGCCTAAACTTTTTTTTTTAAGACATACTCCTGTTCTGATTAGCAAGCTGCTAACAAGCTGAGCACGGCAAAAAGAAACCTTTTGGCGTAAGATGCTCTTAAGATCTGCTATTTTGCTTGTCAATCTCATGTTCTTCACCCCAACTGATACCAAGTGCTCGTGGGGATATTTTTATTTTCGCCGAAATTTTTCTTACAGAGCACTACTAAACTAAATACTACTGACGGGCAAATAGACACTGCTTGCAAAGCACACGATACTATGTATTACATACTGCTAATGGAAGAGGACTAGGCACTGGTTATAAAAGACTTCATACCGATAATAGAATACTGCTTGGAGAAGGTTAAATACTACTGGAGAAAGATTAAATACTGCCAATACAAGACTAGATGCTGTCAACACAACCCTAGGTGTTGTTTGCAGAAGACAGTTTTTTTTGAAAATCGAAATTCTTATTGCTGATCACATTATACTGTTTAATCATTGCTTGCGAAAGACTGACTACTGCTGGCCAACAACACTGTATGTAGAACCCTTGATGCTATGTACTAGTGGTAACGGTATGTGGAGCTATTGAAAAGGAAATCTTTCGTGGTTACTCGGCGTGCGTTCAGTCGCTGGTTTAACCTCACCCCATGCTATTTCTTCCTTCACGTAATATAATTCTGAGGTGAGTGAATCTGATTTTCGCAGATTTCGCCACACAGGAAAATGTTGATCGTGTAACTGTGTCTACACAAAGCACTTTGAATTCCTCGCGGAAATTTAATAAACATTTTGAACAAACATCTGTCCAGTTTCATCCTTGCAAAATTATGCTGGTTCAAAGGCTCCGTCAACATGAGCAGCTCAGAATACTACCTTTTTCAAAATGATAGAGAACAGTGGCGGTCAACTACGCACGGTACGTCCCTATGTTTCAAGAAAAAGAAGCCGATAATTTCGCCTATTTTACCCAACACTAAAGAGATAACCTATGCAACAAAAGATTTGAATTATTCACTTGAAATCAGAGAAGTTATCAAAAAAATTAAGAAATTGAAGAAGATGGCAGCAGTCGAAGGATTCCTTAGACATAACTATACATAATAAAACACCCAGAAACTCAGAAGAATAATTTATCTAGAGAAATAAATCTAGAAGAACTGTCAGTATATGGAGGGACCAATTGTGCACTGGAGAAGGTCAAGAGGATGAAAAACAATGAAGAGATGACCAATATTGAAAACTAAATAACAGGAAATATCACACAAGTTATTCCTAAAGAAGTGGCAGATCAGATAAGAACTAACTTAAATCCAAAGAATGATCTATAAATTAAACTCATCATAGAAGATATCTTAAAGAATCTGCCTAGAAAAGGTATACTCATGCGGAGCTACCTACATATACTGGAAAGTTGCAGCGCTTATCGTGGTGCCAAAGCCAGGAAAACAACTTATCGATCTTAAATATTACAGAGATTAAGATTTCATTATGTAGTTTCATAACTCTTCGAGAAGCTACTAATCGTAGATTATCAATTTGGATTCGGATAAAAGCACTCAAGAAAAGACCAAGTGCATATAATGACACCATTGGAAGAAAAGAATGTCTGATTAGCAATCATCCTAAATGTCACACAATTCTTTGATAAAGTTTGGCACGAAGGCTTGATACACAAACTATACAAAATGCTCCAAAAGCAATACATAGTTTACTGGGTCAAAACCTGTATCTGCTATATATTTATGACGTACCATATTTGGAGCGGAATATGGCACACTACTTATCTACTAGGAAACTACAAATATCCAGAAATGCAATACACGAATAGGCTAAAAAATCAGTTTTACATATAAACTGCAAAAAAGCCCATATAATAAATTGTATCATTGTCTCATATGAGAGCAACGCGAAATATGGAGACCAAATTTAGGTGGAAAGAACATGTAAAGAAGAACATAAGCGGAGTTTACGATGAAATAAAGACAGTTCTATTGGCTGATTGGAAGAAACTCCAAATTTTCAATCTCCAACAAACTACTGATTTGAATCAGATCCTAAAACCAATGTGGCACTATGACATCGAGTTCTAGGGCTGTGCTACTAACTCGTATCAACATCAAGTGTATTCAAATATTCCAGAATGAAGTTCTATGCAACATAGTTAATTTTTTCGTCATCAATCCTGATCAATGAGCAATTCTATTCCAACTTAAATTACCAGTACAAAATAGTCTTAAATTAAAGTATACTCAGCAATGTGTTTAATATTCCATCATAATTAACTCTAGTCAATACTTTATTAAACTAATTCAAAAAGTTTAAGTTTTCTCATTAACTATGAGTTGTCCAAGAGTTCAATAGCCTCAATATCCACATGGTGTCTCTTAATACCTTCTAGAAGAACTTGTGATTCTGCTGTTTGCACTTCCAATTCGCGATGTAGATCACCGTTTCTGTAGTATCAGCGTGCAAACCACCATACTTCTTAATACTTTATTTTGGAACCGTTGCAAAATTGTTTTTGTTTTGCCCAGTGTTGTACTCCATAAGTCCAGACTACTATATACGAGGTGTGTAAATTAAGTAATGAGACTGGCAACTTCGAACGCGGGACTTGGAGGAACGGCAGGTGAACATGTGATACGCCTTCAATACGAGTTTGAACTCGCTAAAGTCATTTGGTTGTCCATAGCGATTTTTTGCGTGAAACAGTTTTTTCTAGTGCGTTCTAAAAATGTCGAACGGTGTGCCATCTGGTCTTGATTCAGACTTGGGCACGGTGGAACGGAAACTTTTGCAAAACCTCAGCACGCATACGGAGACAGTGTTTAGTCAAGGGCCCAGGTTTTTCGATGGTTTAAGGCATTTTCAGAAGAAAGAAAGTTGATTGAAGCATCTAGGATCTTGTGCGTTCATCAGATTTTGACCAATGAATTGGAGAGGAGAAAAATGTGCGCAAAAGTGGTTCTAAAAAGAGACCAACAGATCAGGAGGGAAAGGTGCCTTGACTTTTTGGAACCTTGTGACTTTTTTCTCTTCCCAAAATTAAAAAATCACCTCAAGAAAACTCATTTTGCGACACTCGCAAACATTCAAACGGCTGTAACGGACCAGCTGAAGGCTATCAATATCGGAGTTCCAGCACTGCTATGAAGATTAGAAGAACCGAATCTGGCGCTGTGTGGCTTCAAAAAAAAGTTATTTGGAGGGAGACAATATTGCATTGTAATTCTTTTCAAATAACAAAAATTAAAAAAATCAGTGTCATTACTTAATTTACACACCTCGTATATACTGCCAAAAGTCAAGGCCTCTTACTTTGGAAATCTATATCTTCGTAACCGCTCTATGAAAAAAATTGCGGTAAAGGTTGTTGTAATCACTGAACATTTCTACATAATACATGCTTGATATTATATTTGAGTTATATTATATTTGGTGCTGGTGTGTGGTCCAGGCAGGACGTCGCGTCTTTATTTCTTTATGTAGGTAAAATAAAGGCGCGACGTCCTGGAACGCTTCGTAGAGTTAGCTGTTTTCTATATAACGTTTGGACTGAGAGTTAGACTAATTGGAGAGTGATCTGAGGCCATGTTTTTGATCATATAGAAGTCTATCAAATCTGGTATTTTATTGTGGTGCCAGTATGTTGCCTTCCAATAGACAATACATCGCGTTTGTACCCTTTTATAGCTTCGTAGATTTCTTTGCTTGTTGTCGAGGTCAATTTGATCAATGATAAATCTATCGCCTGGTTTCTTCAGAAATTCATTTAGTTAATGAAGGTCGCAGAGGCTCGTCAACTGCAGGATAACCAACACTGCGTCCGAAGATTGAAGAGAGAAAAATCGTATGATTTTGTGTGTTGTGCATAAAAGCAAAGCATAACAAAACTAGAAGACATTAATGGATATAATCTAGTTTTAAATACATCAATTTTTGTAATAAAAAAATCAATTCGAAAACATGGAAACTAAATTTATTAAGAATAATTTTCGAGAAGTATTCAAAATCAATAAATCAAACTGAATCGAGTACAAGTTCTCGATAACGAACGAAACTCTCACCATATAATCCAGGTATTTTTTGTAACTCACAATCTCTCATATGACATTCTCTTATTGCACCATCAAGTGTCTAACTATCATATCAAAACAAAAAAAAATATAACACTAATCTCGTTAAGATAAGAAAATCTCGAATTAGAAAAAAATATAAGCTAGCAACAGTTACAAAAATAATTAATTTAAATCACAGATAACAAATTTTTTTTTTCATTGCCAATTTGCTGACTTTACGTCAGAGTCGAGCCCACCAACATTCTTTTGCATTCGGACACACCTCCATAACGAAAACACGTGATTTTCGCGCCATTGACATCATCAGGTAAAATGCGAAACCGGTTCAAGGCTTTTTAAGCTCATTGACTTATTTATTAATAAATTAAAATTTATGATTCGTAATCGTTTGTTTTATTACAAAGTTTTTAAAATGAAAATTTTTCACAACATCCAAGTTTAAAAATAAAGGATGGCGTGTCACATCACGTGGGACACGTGATTACTTATCTAGAAAAAAATAACCGCTTGAAACCGCATTTTCTAAAAGATATAAACGGGATTTTTTTAAATGAGTTAATTAGTATGTAAGTTGTGGTGTTGAACGTTTCGTTTTGTGAATGAATGAGTAAAAATAAAATTAATTATTAACTTAATTAGATTAATTGATAAAAATATTATATTTATCATCGATGACCTTAACGGTTTAAAGCCAACGATATCATTTCTAAATTGATTTCAACAAATTTTTATTGCAACTTTCCAAAAATTGAAAGATTATTTTTAAGATAAAAACGTGTGCCAAAATTTTCATCTTTCTATGTTTTTCATTTTCGTTATCTTCTTACAAAACAAATTATACTCACCAATAAATCCTTTTTTAGCCAATTCTAAAGCAAACCTCCTAGTAATTTTCTCCAACTCGTGATCGGAATATTCCTTAGGATTAATTTTAATGCCTGCCTTCGCTCCACCGAACGGAACGTCAACGCAGGCACATTTGAAGGTCATCAAAGCGGAGAGGGCCTTCACTTCATCCCGAGAAACATCCATCGAATAACGAATACCTGGAAACGAAAAAAAAAGAAAATTAGTTAAAAAAAAGAAAAGAAATAGATTTGGATCTAGAAAATAATGGGGTCAGTGGTGGAGTTGGGGTTATTTTTAGAATCAGACGACGACGAATACGTTTATGTAATTTGAGGGATCTGAGGCTGGTTTCGGTTTGGTTGCTAGTGCCAAAAGATTTGAACTATTTTAACTCTTTCTTACTCGTGATCGAGCCCGTTGTTGTTCTTGATTATCGTGCTGTTTATTGCTCTACGGTTCGGTTGAAGGACAAACTTTAAAATTACGTTCAAAGAAAATTGAAAGGTTAAGGACGGTTTAAATTACAAAAATTTATTTGATATAAAAAAGTGTTGTTATATCTTAATTTGAAACTAAAAGATAATATATATAACATTTTATATAGAGTTCTTTATATAGAGTTAATTCCGCTTAATTGGGACATTGCTTACTAAGGTAATCGTTTATTTAGGACAAGTTCAAAGAAAACTATAATCAAATAATAAAATTTGACAATTAATACATATTTGCCTCTCTTAAGAAGAATGATTGGCCAATATTAGATATTTTAGCCATATTCTAACCTCATAATCCAAACAAATATGTTTAGAAGAAATATACTCAGCGGCATAAAAAACGCAAACACCTAGTATGATGACCAGTTTCAAACTGAGCTAACTTTTGAACGTATTGGTCAATTTGAATAAGGGTTTTTTTTTATTTGGAAGATCTACCGTTTGTCAATTTTCTGTAGCTGCCTTCCTCATTTTGGCGCTCTTCAATTTCAGCAATTGTGAATAACGCTAAAGCGTGCTTTCTTCCTACACTTTGAAGCTTGCTGTGGGGTGCACCGACAAAAGAAATTAATTTTAAACACAAGGAGCTTGTAGTCTCGTCTGTTCTGATCACTTCTGTTTTTTGTTCAACTTCCTATTATTGTTAACACCAAAGTTACAAGCTCTAAAGGATAACGCAGCTTCTTCGGCAGCACCATCAGAAATTAAACCAAGCCATGGAAATTGATGGAATTGACGTCGTTGACTGTTGCTAGACAAGAAAAATGCCTCTAAATCTTGCAAAAGCTGCTCAGGCTTGGCTTTGGTAGAAGATAGACGCAGCACTCCTTAATATGCTCGTGTTCTTGATGCGATACAGAGTACGGTTTGTCGCGCCATTCAAAGATTTCGGAAGACTAGTAGTACCTTCATCAGACGACCTGAGTCAGGAAGAAGACGTACAACCCCGTAATGATCGATATATTGTAACGACCGTGTTAAGAAATCGACATACCACAGTTAACTGATCAAGTTAATGACTTTTTCCTCGATGGACAGATCAGTGCGTTGGGTGACGCCAATTCAATTCGGCATTATCAATCTAATCTCTTCCCTGGTGTCATCGAATCACTGTCCTTTTCTCTCGCTTCGGAAGAGAAAATACTGGATATTTTTTGTAACATTAAGACAACTAAAGTTGGAGTTGACGGTATTAGTGTTAAAATGTTGAATATGTGTTGTCCAACAATTATATGTCATATTGTGAACTATTGCCTTCAATTGTCTGTTTTTCCTGACCTTTGGAAGATTGCTCAAGTCACGCCAATTCCAAAAACATCCAGCCCTCGGGAACTTAAAAATCTCCGTCCCATAAGTATTTTGCGTATATTGTCCAAGATTCTGGGAAAAGTAGTAGCTACTAGACTTGCCCAGCATCTAAATAAATTTAATATTCTACCAGTCCATTAGTCTGGTTTTCGTTCAAGACACAGTTGTACGACAGCCCTTCTCGATGTCACGGATGATATTTTCCATGCAATTGACCAAAAAAAGGGCCACGTTCCTGATTCTCTTGGACTTCTCTAAGGCCTTTGATACCATTCAAAACCCCACTTTCTTAGCAAAAGTTTTTTAGTGGTTACCTCCTGAATCGGTCACAAACTGTTAAGCTTCATGGAAAGGAATCTTCAGTAGCAGTGGTGCTCTGCTCTATCTAATTTATACGACAGCTTTACCAAAACTACTAGACTATTGCACTGCTCACATGTATGCTGACGATACTCAGGTCTATTACTCATTCAATGAGAATAACATTGACAAGGCTGAAAGAGCTATCAATTCTGATTTAGACAAATTGGCCCACGAAGGTTCCCAACAATGATTCAAATCATTGTTTGATTATTAATCCGTCTAAATCAGCAGTTATGGTATTTGGGAGTAGTGGTGTGGTAAACAGGATCAAGGGGTCTCTACATATCGGAGTGGGTGGTGTTAAATTGAATTTTACGGACGAGTGCTGCAATTTGGGTATACGTCTTGATACCGCACTCCGATTCCGTGGACATGTTTCTTCACTAATTCGCAGAGCCTACCTGACGCTTTAATTATTGTACAGTAACAGGAGCTTACTTAACCAACGTTTGAAAATTCAATTATGTGAATCTCCATATTCAATTACGGAGATGCTTTATATCATCCATGCCTAGACTCTGCAACCAAAGTGCGTATACAAAGAGTGCAGAACTCATGTCTGAGGTTTATATATGGTATTACAAGACGGGAAAACATATCACACACTCTGAATTGGACAAATTGGTTGAAAATTTGTTTCCAAAAACGTGGAGGACACCACTAAGCATGGGTGGAAGTTTACCTTAATGGCTTTATATCTCTAGGGCTGGGTCTGGAAATATGGTTCTTATGTAGGGGAGAGGTTGTCACACGGGTTGGTTATCCCAAGTGTAAGTTCTCAGTCACTACTACCACCTGAGGTATTTGACTCGAACTACTAAGTGTTTACATCATTACGAGTGTGTGTACGCAGTTTAAAGTGCCGTATGACAATTCTACGGATTTTATTGGTTCTTTTGTGTTTTTGCATCCGTAAGTATTTTTAGAATGATATCTCTGAATATTCACTTTCTATTCAATGAAGTCTGTGTCTTAACTACTTTTCTATGATTCTATAACTTTGTGTGATGTTACTTTGTATCAAATTTAAAGTTAGGTTATATGGTACTTTCGCCAAATCGTGATTTGCTTGAAATGCCTGTTCAGGGCTGGTTGTCAAAAAAAGACAAACCGAGGAGAAACTGCTCCACACATCGTGCTGACAGCAGTGAAGAAAGTAAAAAAAGAGGAATTATCAATTTGTAAAGTTGCAGCTGATTATCAAATCAACTATCGAACTTTAACAAGATATTGCAAGAAAATTTCTCAGGAAGAAATCGACGATGAAAAGAGAGTCCAGCCTTCCATAATCGTTGGTTATTTTCCAAAGAGAAATGGTTCTCTGATTTCTTGGAAAGACTCTTTCCTTACGAAAATCAGAGGCAACCAGCTTAGCACGTTGTTTCAAGCTTCAACAGAACAAATATGGAATCTTTTTTCAACAATTTGGCAACAGTTCTTGGAAGGTATCATTTTCAACCTCACGAAATGTGGAACATGGACGAAAATGTAGTTACTTCAGTTCAGACACCAGATAGAATCGTTGCTCGTAAATCCCGACAAGCTAGTAACTTTGGCTTGTGCTATTTCTACGATTGGCAACCATACCCCACGATTCTTCGTTTTCCCAAGAGTCAAATATGAAACTGCAAATAAATCCGGGTGTATACAAGAAGCCGGTTTCGCCCTATTTTTACAACATTTCCATGAGCACGCGAAAAGCACACCTCAGAAACCATGTCTGCTTCTTCTTGATGATAATCATGGTTCCCACCTTAACATAGAGGGTTCCCACCTTAACATAGACTCAACTTTGCTAAATCAAATAGAATCATCATCTAATCGTTTCCCGCATTGTTCCCACAAGCTCCAGCCACTTGACCGCACTGTTTATGGACCATTTAAGACATTTTTTAACTCTGCTTGTAACGATTGGATGATTCACAACCCGGGGAAAACGATGACTATTTATGATATTCCACAGCTCGTTTCTCGCGCATATCCACTTGCGATAAAACCAACTAATATTTTATCAGGATTTCGGTGTACGCGATTATATCCAATCGTGACATCTTCACCCATGTGGATTTTGCACCAAGCTATGTCACCGACAGAGAGCAACCTGAAAACCAGTTTCCAGAGAAGCCTCCAGATAACTCATTTGAACCTCAACCAGGGCCGAGCAATGTATGCAATGTATAAATAACAACTCCTGAATGTACTTAAGAAAATGTACAGGACTGTTGCAAAATTAACCTAACTGATAATTTTATCATGATAACGATCCTAATCGTATTCTTGCTTAGATCCTTATACAATGTATCAATGGATCATTTACGTCGTTCCGCATCTTCTTTAAACTCCATCTAAATCACATGACGTCAACCCTATAGAAGAACCATAGGCACACTTAAAAATGGGAAATTTGAAATAACGATATTTGCTTCAAACTTAGATAACTAAATGTTAGATTTGCTTACAAATATTTTCTATCAGTCTATGCAACTTGTATTTATAATCTGTACTTATAATATCTTAACCGGATAAAGTTATCAACATTTTAGTAAAAGAGAGGAAATTATGAAGGCTTTAGAAATCAAGTCTTTCTGGAAAAGTTTCAGTTTGTTATAGAAGCTAAAAACACCCTGTGCTAAATCAGAAATAAGTTTATCATTGTCCTTGTAGGGATAAATTTAATGATTAATAGATATAATCAATTGGCATCTTCAAGTTTTGGGATAGATTTCCCTTTTTCAATAATAAATTGTTTGATTGGTTCTAGTAAATTGAAAAATTCTTAGCACATTGCTTACTAAGAACCATCTTACTCCACAAAACCAGGATACGTCATATGGAAACTCATCAAAATTAGAATATATTGGAATATATCGGTATTTAAAAGTGCCAGAAGCCCATTAATAGGACCTCTCATAGCTGAAGCAAAATCAGTTGCGACGCTAATTAACTTTTCGGTACAGAATGTTTACCTTTCAGAATGTCGTATCCTTTAGTTAGAACAATAAAGTCCAATAGTTCTCCTTCCTTTCACATTTACATTATTTGTTACATAACGCACAAATACAGC